TAGGGTGTATATACTGTATGGGGGGATATATGGGGTGTATATACTGTATGAGGGGGATATATGGGGTGTATATACTGTATGGGGGATATATAGGGTGTATATACTGTATGGGAGGATATATAGGGTGTATATACTGCATGGGGGGATATATGGGGCGTATATACTGCATGGGGGGATATATGGGGCGTATATACTGCATGGGGGGATATATGGGGCGTATATACTGCATGGGGGGATATATAGGGCGTATATACTGTATGGGGGGATATATGGGGCGTATATACTGTATGGGGGATATATGGGGTGTATATACTGTATGGGGGATATATGGGGCGTATATACTGTATGGGGGGGATATATAGGGTGTATATACTGTATGGGGGATATATGGGGTGTATATACTGTATGGGGGGGATATATAGGGTGTATATACTGCATGGGGGGATATATAGGGTGTATATACTGTATGAGGGGGATATATAGGGTGTATATACTGTATGGGGGGATATATAGGGTGTATATACTGTATGGGGGGATATATGGGGTGTATATACTGTATGAGGGGGATATATAGGGTGTATATACTGTATGGGGGATATATGGGGTGTATATACTGTATGAGGGGGATATATAGGGTGTATATACTGTATGGGGGGATATATGGGGTGGATATACTGTATGGGGGGGATATATGGGGTGGATATACTGTATGGGGGGATATATGGGGTGGATATACTGTATGGGGGGATATATGGGGTGGATATACTGTATGGGGGGATATATAGGGTGGATATACTGTATGGGGGGATATATGGGGTGGATATACTGTATATGGTGGATATACTGCATGGGGGGATATATAGGGTGTATATACTGCATGGGGGGATATATAGGGTGTATATACTGTATGAGGGGGATATATGGGGTGGATATACTGTATGGGGGGATATATAGGATGGATATACTGTATGAGGGGGATATATGGGGTGGATATACTGTATGAGGGGGATATATGGGGTGGATATACTGTATGAGGGGGATATATGGGGTGGATATACTGTATGGGGGGATATATAGGGTGGATATACTGTATGAGGGGGATATATGGGGTGTATATACTGTATGAGGGGGATATATGGGGTGGATATACTGTATGAGAGGGATATATAGGGTATACACTCCAAAGACATGCTGGTAGGTTAATTGGATCCTGTCTAAATTGGCCCTAGTATGTGTATGTATGAATTTGGGACCTTAGATTGTACGCCCCTTGAGGGTTAGGGACTGATGTGAATGTACAATATATATGTAAAGCGCTGCGTAAATTGACGGCTCTATATAAGTACCTGAAATTAAATAAATAAATAATACTGCAAGTGTACAATCCAAATGCACACATTCCTACGTTAAAAATGGCGGTGTGTATAAGTGGGTGCTGCAGCGACTGTCGGCTGGAACCGACCAGAATCAGGGAAAATGTCACATGCCTGATGAAGGGGTCCTGCGAGACTCCGAAACGTTGCCCTGCTGTAACTATGTGATCGTTTATTAAAACTTTTGGACCCATATTGGTGATCCTCGGGGTGTAATACTGTCACTGCATACATACACAGCACACTACCACTGCATGCATGGAACACAGCAGAGTATACACTAAGTACAAAAATACTTAAACTGGAGCACTCAGAATCTGGTGTAGCCAGTGCATGGGAGCCAATGAGCTTCTAACTTTAGATTGTCCAATTGCAGCAGGAAACCGGCTGTGAAGCCGGAAAGCTTCACTGCGCGTTTCCTTTGCTTAGGATGCGAGCTCCCTAACCCAAAGCCGATTGAAGAATCGACTGGGCTGAGGACATCGCGGGACCCCTGAACAGGTAAGTGTCCTTGAAAATCAGCAGCTACAGTATTTGTAGTTGCTGACTTTTTTTTGCGGGGAGCTTCTCCTTAAATTTTGGCTATATAACATAGAAGCTGCTTGGTTTCTATGCAGAGCTGCATCAGATTTTGCACTCCCCAGTTTTAGTAAATCAACCCCATAGAGTCTATATATGGTATAGTGGATGTTTAGAATGTGTGTGTGTGTGTGTGTGTGTGTGTGTATATATGAAAATATATATATATATTGTAACAGGGTTAGCTCGGCAGCGGGTGTGTGTGACCCCCTGGATGGGTGCACAACACAAAAAGATAGGCACAGCACAACAATAGTGGAGGTGAAAACAAACAGGTGCAATTTATTTACAATATTTACAGAAAAAATGATAAACCAAAAAGAAACATCAAAATAAATCCTGGCCAACTTGGCTACTTACTACAACAACAGCTTTCCCTAGCTACCCACTAGGTACAGCCTGCTGCTATACCTAGTTGCTAGTACTGGGAGGTTAGCCACACAGGCTTTGGTCTCTCTGCACACAGATAACAGGTCAGCTCCCCAGACAGTTCAGGCACAGCTCTGGTTCCAGGGTGGAGCAACTCCCTAAGCACTCTGGGAAGCTTTATACAGGTGTTAATGAGCCCACTACCTTCAGCTGGGCTCATTATCTCAGTGCTGAAGGACTCAGCACTTCCCTCTAGTGGTACAAATCCCCATAAACCCTGAACCTCGGACAAATATATCGTCCATCCAGGACGCAACCAGGTGATTTCACCTGCCTACTGTCACAATATATATATATATATATATATATATATATATATATATATATATATATATATATATATATATATATATATAAAAGGTGTGTTCAGAAAATAATGAGAATGATACATTAAAAAATCTGTTTTGGAAAATTTTACAACTGAACAACATTGTCTCGTGTTCAGTATGTGGGATATATAGGGTTTACGTAATGTATGAAGGATTTACATTTTGTATAGTGGATATATAGAGTATACCTGCTGTATAGGAAATGTACAGTATATATTATATGGAGTGCATATACTGTATGGACATGTCTTCTATATGGCACATGTATAAGGAGTATATACTGTATATGGAGTATAAGTACTGTATGGAGAGATCCTATATAGGTCTAATTGATGGTGTTATAGTACATATTACTGTCTTAGCCTCATTCAGTGTTGGTTCTGTTACAGGGCTCGTCTGGACTGGATCTTCGTGCGGCGGTTCTTGGCTCTGCAGTCTGTTCTCTTCCCACAATGGACAGCCCGGAATACGTTGATGATGTTGACACTGCTAATAGTGGCCCTGACAGGTCAGTGGGCTCCGCACCCTCCATGTGCTTCTCATGTGTAGGATACGATGGTGCTAACCCGATATATAACATTGCAATTCTGTATGTATAAGGAGCCATCATGTGTAAAAGGCAGGTGGGCATCACCCTTGGAGAGTGTTCTGAAAGAGGAAGAGCTGTCTAGTATAAGACACAATGTTGTTGAGATATCTATGAATGCAGATGGTCTCTGTGATTGTACAAAGTGATGACTATTCTAGCCGCAGCAACAAGTCATCAGAGTTCCCTTGCCCAGCCATGCATCATGCTGGTGCTTCCCCTGCCCAGCCTTCACCGTGCTGGTGCTTCCCCCTGCCCAGCCTTCACCGTGCTGGTGCTTCCCCTGCCCAGCCTTGCACCATGCTGGTGCTTCCCCTGCCCAGCCTTCACCGGACTGGTGCTTCCCCTGCCCAGCCTTCACCGGACTGGTGCTTTCCCTGCCTAGCCTTGCACCGTGCTGGTGCTTTCCCTGCCCAGCCTTGCACCGTGCCGGTGCTTTCCCCGCCCAGCCTTGCACCATGCTTGCATGGCAACCAGTCAGCTTCTATCTTTCATTTTCAAAGCTTTACCGAACAAACTGAAGTAAGATGCTGATTGGTTGCCATGCAAAGCTGCTCCATATTCTATCTGCTCCAGTTTTGATAAATTCTATAGCTCTATAAAAATCTCAGACACTGAGAGGCAGTGACAAGGATACCCCCACTCATTCTGGTATGTTGTAGTGAAGCAGGCAATATCCCCTTTGCTGCCTTATGCATGATATATGTAATTGTTAGAGCCTTCACATCACTTAATTGTATTTTTTATTTTTCTGCACAGGGCAGCTAGTCATTTACCAGGTTGGCATTCTGCCCAGTCAGTTCTATGGTGTTCTGTCTGATCGAGACCTGACCAGCTTCAGGAGGTTGGCAGTCATGGCCACTGCTCTGATCCTCGTCATTTCCATGGTGAGTTTTCTCTTCTCTTCCATTTGCCCACCAAGAATGTGTTTTTTCTTCTGCTAACCTCATCTGAGCAGTCAGATTTCATTGTTATCTCGAGTATCATTCATCGGTCTGTCTGTCAGTCAAGGTCTCCTGTTTGCTGGGCACCCTCTAATCAGACTTGAATACAGAGAGGCTTGTGATAAATTATGTCTTTTGCTCTATTTTTGTTTTTTGGGTGGTTGGGACTATTTGCTGGTCAGGGAGTCAAATTCAGGATCTTTGCGATGGTGTAAAGAATTAGCCAAGTCAGTACTGGCCCAGCATCTATATGGAGCAGATATAGGTGGGCCTTTTATTTAGCCAGTGGATAATTTAGGTGAGATAAGAGGATGACATGGGATGTGCAGCGTCTGTGCCGGGAATTCACCAGCTTCACCTGTAAAATTCTAGCCGCACCCTTCATACATATTCCTCTTCCTCTATTACTCCTATCAATGTGCCATCAGGTCAGTATATCACTCTTATTGGTGTACTGTGACCTGTTTGCTTTGTCTTTTAGCTGCGCAGTGCCGAGCAGTACATCAGCAAACTGGTCTATGTGAACTGTCGGAAGGTGATGACGCAATATCTGCACCAAATTTACTTCACTAGACAAGTCTACTACACTATGAGCGTGGAGCACAGCCATGTTGATAACCCGTATGTGGCACTCTGTGTGTGTGTAAGGGGGGGGGCGGCACTGTTTGTAGGAAGATGGATGTGTGTGGTGTGCTATAGACATCTTGCACACAAATAAATTTCTTGCTGAATTTCTTTTCGTTTTTTCAGAGATCAGAGGATGACACAGGATGTGGAGCGCCTGTGTCGGGAACTCACCAGTTTCGCCAGTAAAATTCTGACCACGCCCTTTACACTTGGATATTACTCCTATCAGTGTGCCATCAGGTCAGTGTATCAGCTGTATTGGTGTACCATGACCTGTGTGTGCTATTTGCTTATAAATACTGTATATCTGCATCGCTTTCAGGTTTAGTATGCCTTTCCAAGTGCCCAGTAATGAAAGTTACCTTTGCTAGTTTGTCTCTCCACCCCAGGGTGGATAAAAATCAATGATTTTTAAAAAAAAATCAAAAAAAATCAGATTTTTTTTAAATTTAAATCGGATTTTTTTTTAAATAAAATGCTTTTTGCGGAAAATATATTACCATCCAAAGGTTATTCCATCATGAAATAAAGATTAGTTTTTTAATTATGTAGAATAAGGCTGTATATGTTTAATTTTTTTGGTAAATAAATTCCATGAATCCATTCACAAGGTCATGCTCTTCCAGAGGTTTTTGTAAGATTATTGGGCGGTTTCTCTGCCTACAAGATATTATCACAGATGCTCGGTTTACTTTTGCAGTTCTCAAAACTGAATTAGACTCAGCGGAGATCACATGCCTCTTCTTCACAGCAAAAATGTTATAACATGAACAGAGTTAAGAAAAAGACCTTCATCCTAACTTCTACAAACCTATGAATACAGAATCAACCCCTTCAGTGCTAAGTTTCAAGAAGTTCAGTGAATAGAAACAATATTTTCTGATTGTTTGGAGTGGAATAGATCTGCACAAGAAGAAAGTGAAACTAAGTGTGAGGGGGAGGGGCTGACAGTCTAAGTTTCTTAAAATATATAGATTTTGTTTAGCCAAATTAGTTAACAAACATGGATGTTTAAGCAAATCACATATGCTGGAATGTTATTGTTTCAGATGAATAAATCTATTTAAATTGTTATTATTAAGGTAATGATTATTTTTCTCCTTCCTAAGTACAACAGAAAAGTTGTCCAAATATGAATGATTAACCTATTAAACTGGGGATAAAAAAACTAATATGAAAAGTTGTTATTCTAAAAATCTTCATCTACTTGTATATTAAAGTTATACCAGCAAGAATTAGTCTTTATGTAGAAAACTAGGATTTACATCAAGCCTTACTGACTAGTGATTTAAATCAGCTTGATTTAAATCAAATCCACCCTGCTCCACCCCTTCCAAAATGGTGGGATTTCCATCAGTAATTTGTGTCACTGCCCCTCCCATAATGGTGAGATTTCCTGGTGTAGTTTCTCTCCCTCCTCCCCCCCTTCCATTTCCCACACACACTGGTCTGTAATAATAGTGACACCATCCCATATCCATTTTCTCCAAATGATTTTGCATCCTACATTAAGAAGTGGTCATCGGGGAGGGTGCCGCCATTATTTAGTTATGTGGTGGCAGATAGGTGGAGTCTGGAATTTTAGTGGCAAAATCCCATTACTGGGTCCCAGAGAAAGATATGCAGGGAGCACAGAATTTATGAGTATCGGTGTTGCTTTTCAGTATTTGTATTGTTTGTGTGTCTTTTAAAGCCAATTTGCTGGTATGTAGATTTTTGCATAGGTACATTGGTTCAGCTTGGATCATTGTAAGCAGGGGCGGACTGACCATTTGGAAACTCGGGCACTGCCCGAGGGCCCGGGGTCAGTAGCGGGCCCCATGAGATGCCCCTGGTACCTTTTTCATAGGCTTTTTTGAGTGTAGGCAAGGACACAGGGGCCCCATGATCCCCTATTGCCCGGGGGCCCCATGAGTTGTCAGTCCGCCCCTGATTGTAAGTATGTATGCGCCATACCTGGCTGATCCCTGTGGAAGTTGAAAATCATTGTAGTGGGCACCACTACTACAGTGATCACTGCTGGCTTCCAGGTCCTGCGTTGAGCGCCTGCCCTGCAGCTTAGTAAACAAAAGAGATTGATCGCTTGGCACAGGCTCCATTCAGAGTACATTTAGCATTTTCTCAATGAATGCAAAGTGTTCTTTAACTGGATGAGGTGGAGTGTTGGGGCGGTGACATCACAATCTCCACCTCATCCAATCAGAGAATGCTTTGCATGCCAAGTGAGCAACCTGTGCAGAATAGGAAGGGCAGACCTGGGAGCTAACTGCGATCACTGTAGTAGCTGTGTCCACAGGGCTGGACCATGCATAATTACATTGGTCCAAGCTGCACCATGGTAACTAACTGGAGGAAAGTTCAAAACTAATTTCAGAAAGTATTATTTTACTGAAAGAGTAGTGGATGCTTGGAATAAACTTCCAGCAGAGGTAGTGAGCCAGGCAACAGTAAATAGCTACAGACATGCTTGGGACAAGCATAGATATATACTCAGACAAAAAGTTAACGGAAAAAAAAAATGGGCGGACTCGATGGACTACTAGGCCTTTTTCTGCCATGTCGTTTCTTTGTAACGGTGCAAAAATATCCATACTTGGAATTCAGCTTTAGGCTGCTGCTGTGGCTGGTGTGCCGCCATGTGTCTGTGTGCTGCTCCTCCTGGTGTGTATTCCTGTGAATAGACAGATACATTGTTTGTTTCATGCCATGTGTATCTTATACCGTCCTATGTTTCTCCATGTTCACAGTACAGGCTGGATGGGTCCTGTGTCTATCTTTGGATATTTCGTTGTCGGATCTCTGGTGAATAAACTTCTGATGGGTCCTGTTATCCCCAGACTGGTTGAGCAGGAGAAGCTGGAAGGTGATTTTCGGTAAGTGTGGGTTGTGTTCTGTCAACTGAGGGGTCCGGTGAGTATGGATGGCTACTGCCTTTCAGGTGAAAGACCAGGGAATGAGGGCAGCATTCTTGCTTGTAAGATGAGGAGTCCAGTGATTGTGGATGACGTTTTTCCTGTAAAGTGAGGGGTCGAGCGAGTGTAGGTGATATTCTTGCCTGTCAGGTGAAGGGCCCAATGAGTGTTTTGAAGGAGTGCCTACCTGTTAGTTGAGGGTGAATAGGTGAGGGGTCAGGTGAGTGTGGGTGCAATTCCTGCCTGTTGGGTCAGGATGAATGGATGAGGGATCCGGTGTTGAGGCTACATTGAGGTTGGGGGGGGTGTAATTTTGTCTCTTATATTGTGCAACGAATTACATTTTTCCACCAAACAGTTATTCTTGCATTTTCTATAAAATGGTTAGTTTGACCTCCAGTAATGTTCAGTCACCCCCGTAATATTCAAGTCACCTATCTCTGAATTTTTCCTCTGCAGGTTCAAGCATGTACAGATTCGTGTCAATGCAGAAGCTGCAGCCTTCGCCAGGTGAGAATTCAGGCTCAGTCTGATGATATGGGGCTGAGGGGGAAATTTTCACATTTGCACCAGCCAATTTGATTCCTTGTTTGACTTTTGCTGAGACTAAATCGTGTATTCTGGTTCGTCACTGTGGACATTTGCACCACTTCCCTTGAGTTGTAGACCATAAGGAGGAACTGATGGTCTGTGATAATCATGTTATGCCTCATCCTCCAACGACAAAAGTCTCCATTACTCCTTTGTCATGTGACTGCAGAGTAGGGTGGGATGATACTGACTCCATCACTCCTCACCTGCTCCTCCATCTTTGCTATGTGACTTTAAAGTGATGGTGTTCTGTTCCAGAGCCGGCTGTGTGGAATATGCCAGAACAGAGCGCCGCCTGAAGAGCCTTATTGCCACTCAGAAGGAACTGATCTATCAGGAACTATGGCTGTCTTGTAAGTAGAGAAACAGGTACCAGGGTTTGGGGTTGGTTGTGGAACCCCGGCCAGGGTCAGCCAGGTGAATCATTTGTTGACCTCTCTTGTAAACAGTGGGAACAAACACCTTTGATTATCTTGGTGGAATCCTGAGTTATATGACTATCGCTATTCCCATCTTCTCCGGAGTGTACAATGACCTAAGTGCCAGTGAACTCAGCGAGCTTATCAGTAAGGTAACAGTTTTTCCCTCAACACCCCCCAGCTGATTTATCTTGTCAAATCTCTCCACCATTTTACTTTTGCTAGTCCTCTTTACCTCCCGCCCAGCCTTACTATTTTTAGCCCTCTCTACTCCCCCTCTTCTAATCCTTTCTCCTCATCTTCTTTCCCCTTTACCTTACATTACCTTTCCTTCCTTCCTTCCTTCTTCCTTCCTTCCTTCCTTCCTTCCTTCCTTCCTCCCCATCTCCCTCTTTTTCTCCTCCCTTCTTTCTTCTCCCATACTCTCTACCCCCTCTTGTTTCTCCACCTGTCTTTTTTAGCTCCTCCTTTTTGTTTCTCCTCCCATTCTTTCCACCTCCTCCCTTGTTTCTCCTCCCATTCTCTCTACCTCCTTCCGTTCTCGCTATTGCCTCTCTTGTTTACCTACCCATCCCCTGTACCTCCTCTCCTCCTATTTCTCCTCCTGTCCTCCTCTACCTCCTCCCTTGTTTCTCCTCCTGTCCTCTCTACCTCCTACCTTGTTTCTCCTCCTGTCCTCTCTACCTCCTCCCTCCTTTCTCCTCCTGTCCTCTCTACCTCCTCCCTTTCTTTCTCCTCCTGTCCTCTTTACCTATCTATTCCTTTGTTTCTCCTCCTGTCCTCTCTACCTCTCCTCCCCTTTTTTTCTCCTCCTGTCCTCTCTACCTCTCCTCCCTTTTGTTTTCCTCCTCCTGTCCTCTCTACATCTCCTCCCTTTTTGTTTCTCCTCCTGTCCTCTCTACCTTTCCTCCCCTTGTTTCTCCTCCTGTCCTCTCTACCTCTCCTCCCTTTTGTTTCTCCTCCTGTCCTCTCTACCTCTCCTCCCTTTTTGTTTCTCCTTCTGTCCTCTCTACCTCTCCTCCCTTTTTGTTTCTCCTCCTGTCCTCTCTACCTCTCTCTCCCTTTTTGTTTCTCCTCCTGTCCTCTCTACCTCTCCTCCCTTTTTGTTTCTCCTCCTGTCCTCTCTACCTCTCCTCCCTTTTTTGTTTCTCCTCCTTTTTTCTCTCCTCCTGTCCTCTCTACCTTCCTCCCTTTTTTTTCTCTCCTGTCTGTCCTCTCTACCTCTCCTCCCTTTTTTGTTTCTCCTCCTGTCCTCTCTACCTCTCCTCCCTTTTTTGTTTCTCCTCCTGTCCTCTCTACCTCTCCTCCCTTTTTTGTTTCTCCTCCTGTCCTCTCTACCTCTCCTCCCTTTTTTGTTTCTCCTCCTCCTGTCTCTCTACCTCTCCTCCCTTTTTTGTTTCTCCTCCTGTCCTCTCTACCTCTCCTCCCTTTTTTGTTTCTCCTCCTGTCCTCTCTACCTCTCCTCCCTTTTTTGTTTCTCCTCCTGTCCTCTCTACCTCTCCTCCCTTTTTTGTTTCTCCTCCTGTCCTCTCTACCTCTCCTCCCTTTTTTTGTTTCTCCTCCTGTCCTCTCTACCTCTCCTCCCTTTTTTGTTTCTCCTCCTGTCCTCTCTACCTCTCCTCCCTTTTTTGTTTCTCCTCCTGTCCTCTCTACCTCTCCTCCCTTTTTTGTTTCTCCTCCTGTCCTCTCTACCTCTCCTCCCTTTTTTGTTTCTCCTCCTGTCCTCTCTACCTCTCCTCCCCCTTTTTTGTTTCTCCTCCTGTCCTCTCTACCTCTCCTCCCTTTTTTGTTTCTCCTCCTGTCCTCTCTACCTCTCCTCCCTTTTTTGTTTCTCCTCCTGTCCTCTCTACCTCTCCTCCCTTTTTTGTTTCTCCTCCTGTCCTCTCTACCTCTCCTCCCTTTTTTGTTTCTCCTCCTGTCCTCTCTACCTCTCCTCCCTTTTTTTGTTTCTCCTCCTGTCCTCTCTACCTCTCCTCCCTTTTTTGTTTCTCCTCCTGTCCTCTCTACCTCTCCTCCCTTTTTTGTTTCTCCTCCTGTCCTCTCTACCTCTCCTCCCTTTTTTGTTTCTCCTCCTGTCCTCTCTACCTCTCCTCCCTTTTTTGTTTCTCCTCCTGTCCTCTCTACCTCTCCTCCCTTTTTTGTTTCTCCTCCTGTCCTCTCTACCTCTCCTCCCTTTTTTGTTTCTCCTCCTGTCCTCTCTACCTCTCTCTCCCTTTTTTTGTTTCTCCTCCTGTCCTCTCTACCTCTCCTCCCTTTTTTGTTTCTCCTCCTGTCCTCTCTACCTCTCCTCCCTTTTTTGTTTCTCCTCCTGTCCTCTCTACCTCTCCTCCCTTTTTTGTTTCTCCTCCTGTCCTCTCTACCTCTCCTCCCTTTTTTTGTTTCTTCTCCTGTCCTCTCTACCTCGCCTCTTGGCCTCAATAACCTTCTTCCTCCTTCTGTGCTCTCTACCTCCTTCCTTCTCCAATAGTTCTCATGCTGGGTGTCTTCTTACAGAATGCATTTGTTTCCATCTACCTGGTCAACTGCTTCAGTCAGATCATAGATTTATCCAGCAACCTGTGTGACGTAGCTGGGTACACACATCGGTGAGTGCGGAATGGGAGAGACAGTGGTCAGTGGTGTGTGTTAATTTGGCTTGAGCTCTGTAGCAGAGTGTGATGGCTCTCATTGATGATAGTGGTTGTAAGTGTGATATGTGGGAGGTTCTCCCCCATTAATGGTGGTGAGTTTGATTGTGTGGGAGTGGCTCTGCCCAGTGATGGTAGTGGCAGATATAGGTGGGAGGGGCTTGTGGTAATTGTAATTTCTGAGAGAAGCTGTGCCCAGTGACAGTGGTGGGGAGTGTGATATGTGAGAGGGGCTCTGTCCATTGATGGTAGTGGCGAATGTGATATGTGGGAGGGGCTTGTGGTGGGCAGTGTAATTTCTGGGAGGGGCTCTGGCGAGTGATGGTGGTGTTGAGTGTGATATGTGGGAGGGACACTGTTTTGGTGATGGTGAGAATATGTTGTAGCTCTGGCCAGGGGAGTACGTGTGAGAGAGGATGTAGCCAGTGATTGCAGTGGAGTGTTTGATATGTGGGAGGGGCTCTGGTCAGGGGAGTTTATGTGGGAGGGGCTCTGATCAGGGGAGTTTATGTGGGAGGGGCTCTGATCAGGGGAGTTTATGTGGGAGGGGCTCTGGCCAGTGATGGCAGTGGTGAGTGTTATGTGGGAATGGTTCTGGCCAAGGAGGTATTATATCTGGGAGGGGCTCTGGCCAGCAATGGTAGTGATATGGGAGGGACTCCAGCAATAGCTATTGTGTGTGATTTGTAGGAGGGGCTAGTGATTGTGGCGGTGAGTGTGATATGTGAAAAGTAATTTAACTTGTCAGTAATTTTCATCTTCTCAGGATTGGGGAGCTGGTGGAGGTGATGATGAAGATTGTACAAGAAGACAAGGATGTAAGTCCAGCGGAGGAAGAAGATGGGTGTGTAGTGTCCTTTTCTGTATATTAGTTCTGTATACATCAGGAAATCTGTGTCTGACATTCCATTACTTGCATATATGGGGGTGCTAATACCCGACACTATCTGTGTTCATACCTAAATCTCCACTGTCTGTATATATGAAGATGTCCTTTTTGGACACTATATGTATATGGGGAGGTGTCCAAACCTGACACTATTATACGAGTACGAGTCTCCCCTACCTGACTATCTACTATTTGTATATCTGGGGGTTGTCCAAACCTGATCATTATATTAAAATGGATGTGCTGTCTCCTTAAATATAATATGGTAACCTAATAGAACATCCATTTTAATATAAGGCCTGCATATCTTGTGTTCAGGTATTGGATTGTTGCAGTCTTTAAAGGTTGTTATTTTACAGTGAGCACAAGTGGTTGCTCAACATACCTGAGCATTACCTGTATGTATGGGAGTGTCCATAACTGATTATCCGCTATGTGTGGAAATAGGGGAGATATATATAAATTAAATATAATGTGTGTCCATGCTTGACCCACCTCCATCTATATACATTGGTGTGTCCATATCTGTCATGCCATTATCTGTATATATGGGATTCCCCATACCCAGCACTGCCCTACACATATATAGGGTGTTCACATCTCACACTCAGTTGTCTGTATATGTGGGGATGTACATAGCTGACACTGCAGTTGTCTGTATATATGGGGGGGGGGGGTTATTATTATTATTATACAGGACTTGTATAGCGCCGACAGTTTGCTCAGCACTTTACATTATGGAGGGAGACAGTACAGTAACAATACAGTTCAATACAAGAGGAATTTGAGGGCCCTGCTCCTTGGAGCTTACAATCTAGGAGGGAGGGGATGGTGGTGCAAGAGGTAATTGGCTGTGGGGGATGGAGTGGTTGGGGGAGTAGGGGATTCCAGTAGTTAGCCGGGGTCGGGGCAGGCTTCCCTGAAGAGATGAGTTTTCAGAGTGCGCCTAAAAGTGAGCAGAGTAGGAGTACTAAAACTGCATAATGCAAAATCTGGTGCGGCTTTGCATAGAAACCAGTCAGGTTTCGTTGTCCAAGCTTAATGAAATAAGCTGAAGTTAGAAGCTGATTGGCTACTGTGCACACCTGCACCAGATTCTGAGTGCTCCAGTTTTAGTAAATCTCCCCCATGGTGTCCATAACTAACATTGGTGAAATTTGCTTTTGCTACTGGCAGGTCCCCACAGGAGAAGCCACAAAATGGCGATGGGGTATTTATCTTGGATAATGTAACGGTTAGCACGCCGGTGTCCGAGTGCACATTAGTGCGAGATCTCAGCCTGCGTGTGAGTAAGGGGAATAGTCTTCTGATCAGTGGAGAGACTGGCAGTGGGAAATCCTCCATTCTACGTGTTTTAGCCGGACTGTGGAAGACCAAACAAGGTATGTCACTGTATTTGTGTGAGAGATGGACTCTGCTGTCTCCACTTTCTCTCCTTCCTTCTCTCCCCATCGCATAATGTTTCTCAGATTCAGTTCTGTGTTCTCTAGGGACTTCTTACTGGTTATATGTAGATACATCGTGCAACTATATTTGGTTGGTGCTGATTGCCTGCCATGCCACCATCTTGTCTCTGGCACTCTTCTTTCTTGTGTTCTGACGCCTCCCTGTTCCTCTGTCTCACAAGGTCGTATACCTCCTTAGGTCGGGTATCTGTCCACACTCCGTTTGGTCCTCATGGTGTTCTTTTCCTGCCACAAAAATCATTCCTGAGTGACGGAAGCTTGAGAGAGCAGGTGAGGCCCCCGTGTGTCGCATGATGTGTGGTGGGGGTCATTTTTATGGTAGAGATAGTCCTCTGAAGTAAGGAATTTTGCTGGAGTCTTGTACATATAACGTGTGATGGCACCAGTAGCTCTGTATACAGTATGGTGAAATATTTGCCCTGCCACAGCACTCACAACACATATTTTGTGCTTTCAGGTGATCTACCCACTGAAGGAGATATACCCAAAATCTGGTGAGTTACCCAGGCTGGCCAATTTGACATCTGACAGTTGCGCTTACTTAGCCCTCATGTATGAAAGTGTCTGCAAGGAGGACTGTCTGTGCTTCAGAGTATAAGGATGTGACAAATCACTGGAAGGGGGAGGCAGTGCAGTGTCCCATCTCTGGAAGGGGGAGGCAGTGCATGGACACATCCCTGGGGGTATTGGCAGTGCAGTGACATGTCTCTGGAGGTGGTGATGGTGCAGTGACACATCTCTGGAGGTGGTGATGGTGCAGTGAAATCTCTGGAGGTGGTGATGGTGCAGTGACATGTCTCTGGAGGGAGAGACGATGCAGTGACACATGGACATGGTTTAGTAACACATTTCTGGACTGGGAGGTAATGTGGTGATACATGTCTGGAAGGGGTAGATGGTGCATTGACCTATCTGGGGCTGGTGGTGGTGCAATTACACATGTCTGGTTGTGGAGGCGGAGCAGTGGCACATCTTTGGTGGGTGAGGTGGTTACATTTCTCTTGTGGCAGTGGGTGGTTGAAGTCGCATATCTCTGGAAGAGGAGCAGGGGTTGTACAGTGACTTGTGGAATGGTCCTATAGTGACACACATCTCTTGACACTTTTTATTCCTGTCTCAGGTCGGATGGATGACGAAAGAATCCTAAAATCACTGGACATGTCAGGCCTGGTAAGACAAAGGAGAGCCTCGTGTGTACATGCAATGAAGTGTGTCTTCTTCCTAGTCCTGTTCTTTGGTGGGTCTTTGCCCCCTTTCTGATTCTCTTCTACAGTGATTGAAAAAGTCTTCATACCCCTTGAAATTTTCTCCATTTTGTCATGTTACAACCAAAAACGTAAATGTATTTAATTGGGATTTTATGTGACAGACCAACACAAAGTGGCACATAATTGTAAGATGGAAGGAAGGAAAAATATAAATGGGTTTTCAAAATCTTTTACAAATATCTGAAAAGTGTGGCGTGCATTTGTATTCAGCTCCCTTTACTCTGATACTCATTAACTAAAATCTAGTGGAGCCAATTACCTTCAGAAGTCACCTAATTAGTAAATACCTGTCCACTGGTGTGTAATTTAATCTCAGTATAAATACAGCTGTTCTGTTAATCCTTCGGAGGTTTGTTAGAGAACATTAGTGAGCAAACATCATCATGAAGGCCAGGGATAAAGTTGTGGATACGTTTAAAGCAGGGTTAGGTTATAAAAAAAAAAAATATATCCCAAGCTTTGAACATGTCATGGAGCACTGCTCAATCCATCATCTGAAAATGCGAAGAGTATGGCACAGCTGCAAACCTACCACGACATGGATGTCCACCTAAACTGACAGGCCGGGCAAGGAGATCATTAATCAGAGATGCAGCCAAGAGGCCCATGGTAACTCTGCAGGAGCTGCAGAGATCTACAGCTCAGGTGGGAGAATCTGTCTACAGGACAACTATTAGTCGTGCACGCCACAAATCTGGCCTTTATGAAAGAGTGGCAAGAAGAAAGCCATTGTTGGAAGAAAGCCACAAGAAGTCCCGTTTGCAGTTTGCGAGAAGCCGTGTGGGGGACACAGCAAACATGTGGAAGAAGGTGCTCTGGTCAGATGATACCAAAATGGAACTTTTTGGCCTAAAAGCAAAACTCTATGTGTGGGGGAAACTAACACTGCACATCACCCTGAACACACCATTCCCACCGTGAAACGTGGTGGTGGCAGCATCATGTGGTGGGGATGCTTTTCTTCAGCAGGGACAGGGAAGCTGGTCAGAGCTGATGGGAAGATGGATGGAGGCAAATGCAAGGCAATCTTAGAAGAAAACCTGTTAGTCTGCAAAACACTTGAGACCGGGGCGGAGGTTCACCTTCCAGCAGGACAACGACCCGAAACATCCAGCCAGAGCTACAATGGAATGGTTTATATCAAAGCATATTCATGTGTTAGAATGGCCCAGTCACAGTCCAGACCTAAATCCAATTAAGAATCTGTGGCAAGACTTGAAAATTGCTGTTCACAGACGCTCTCCATCCAATCTGACAGAGCTTGAGCGATTCTGCAAAGAAGAATTGGCAGAAATGTCCCTCTCTAGATGTGCAGAGCTGGTAGAGACATCCCCAAAAAGACTTGCAGCTGGAATTGCAGCAAAAGGGGATACTACAAAGTATTGACTCCGGGGGGCTTTTCAGATATTTATTTGTAACAAAAATTTGAAAACGATTTCTCATTTTCCTTCCACTTCACAGTGAAGTGGCACTTTGTGTTGGTCTATCACATCAAATCCCAATTAAATACATTTACATTTTTGGTTGTAACGTGACATAATGTGGAAAATTTCAAGGGGTATGAATACTTTGTCAAGGCGCTGTATGGCGTGTCCCTTTCCCCTTCCTGGTCCTGTTTCATGGTGCGTCCCTTTCCCCTTCCTGCCTGTGCGTCCCTTTCCCCTTCCTGGTCCTGTTCTACGGCATGTCCCTTTCCCCTTCCTGGTCCTGTTCTATGGCGGGTCCCTTTCCCCTTCCTGGTCCTGTTCTATGGCGGGTCCCTTTCCCCTTCCTGGTCCTGTTCTATGGCGCGTTCCTTTCCCCTTCCTGGTCCTGTTCTATGGTGCGTTCCTTTCCCCTTCCTGGTCCTGTTCTATGGCGGGTCCCTTTCCCTTTCCTGGTCCTGTTCTATGGCGCGTCCCTTTCCCCTTCCTGGTCCTGTTCTATGGCGCGTCCCTTTCCCCTTCCTGGTCCTGTTCTATGGCGCGTCCCTTTCCCCTTCCTGGTCCTGTTCTATGGCGCGTCCCTTTCCCCTTCCTGGTCCTGTTCTATGGCGCGTCCCTTTCCCCTTCCTGGTCCTGTTCTATGGCGCGTCCCTTTCCCCTTCCTGGTCCTGTTCTATGGCGCGTCCCTTTCCCCTTCCTGGTCCTGTTCTGTGGCGGGTCCCTGTCCTCTTCCTTGTCCTGTCCTATGGACTGTTGAGAAAACTAAATAATTTTCACCAATCAGCTCTCAGTGTATGTTTAAAGAGTTGTATGTACACCCATGTATTACAGGGTGTCTGAGGTCAGTTGTATGTTGGGGTCTTTTCATGTTGTTTTCTCTGTGGCAGACATCTCTGGTGAGCAGGACGGGGGGTCTGGACCAGGCTGTGAACTGGAATTGGTGAGCCTGATACATCCATTATATATTACATGGGGCGTGTGTGCGGTATGATCTGTCCTGCATTGTATTATGTCATATATTACTGTATTTGTACAGGTCAGAGGTTCTGTCTCCAGGGGAAATTCAGCGTTTGGCCTTTTCCCGCTTATTTTATCTGCAACCCAAATATGCAGGTAAGATATACATAGAAACTCTGTATGTATGTATGTATACTGCAGTGGAATCTGCCAAAATGGAGAGTCTCATTCAGGGGACCCAGCCCAGGAGGGCAAAAGATGGGAGGGTGGGGGTCTCATCCAAGGAGACCCAGTCTGGGGGAGTTAAAGGACAGGGGTGTCTCATCCAGGAAGACCCAGCCTAGTAAGACAAAGATGCGGAGTGGAGTCTCATCCAGGGAGACCCAGCCCAGGGAAGTCGGTTTTCTTTCTTTCAGACTTCAGTTATCAGCACAGCTGGCATTGTGTGTGATGGCTGGAAATGTTTTTGCACTGTAATAAGGCAAGAAAAGACTGGGGGAAAATGGCGACATGAACACTCGAGTTGTAATCATTTTTTTTTTTTTTTTTTTTTATATTCCTCTTCATTTAGTTCTCATATTTTTCTTTAGTTACTTTTTCACTGCTCATAGTATAACCTGAAACACTGCTCCTGGTATGATTTAAACTGCAGCATGTTCTATTTGTAATACGCTGTAATGCTGATGTCCAGACAGGCCAACAGGATGCCCCATATTTTTCCTACTGTTAGGAAGAAAAAGATTTAAAAAGCAACTCATTGTGACTACACCCATCAGGTGCTCAGAGGAAGCACCAAATGTTGTCAGTGCAGATGCTGCTGTGGGGTCCCCTGGAGATGTCAGTGCGGCTGTCTACTGTGGGGTCGCCTTGAGTTGTCCATGTTTTCCTGTCTCGCTGTCCCACCTGATCTCTCCAATACATGCTTAGTACTGTTTCTGTCTTCTCAGTGCTGGACGAGGCAAGCAGTGCGCTCAGTGAGGATGCAGAGGCAGAGTTGTACTCCCACTGTACCCAGATGGGGATGACGTTAATTAGTGTTGGACACAGACGCAGCTTGCAGGAGGTGAGAGACCCTAAACTGTGTGAAATGCCAGGAAATGAGTGTGCAATGTCCTAAAGAAAAAGTATAGCAATGTATTTATTATGGCCAGGACTAAAAAGTAAAATGAAAAGTAATTGTTTTGTTTTTTTTTGGGGTAGATATAAAATAATGTATATGAATATTTTATATTTTTCTATCTAGTCAGCAGGAGGAGATCTGGTTTTTTTGGGGTTTTTTTGTTTTTTTTTAGTTTCAACCTTGGGGTTTTTTTGTTTTTTTTAGTTTTCAACCTCTAACTCCCATTGAACATAGCTCGGTGTTTATAGAGTTCAGAGAATTATTCAGAAGAAACTCCACCTCTTCTTAGCCTGTTTATTTTAGGCCATATATAGTTGCAGTCAGAGAAACAGTCTGAAGGCAGACGGCTTCTGCTGTGCTGCTTAGCTAAAATACAGCTCCATGAATTTAGTGTCATGTATAAATGTGTATTTGTAATATGTGTGTTTTGTAAGCATTTGTTTAGTTACCATTATTTTTATTAAATTTGGCCAAAAACCATTATAGTTCTCTTTAAGCATTGGTGAACAGGCCTGTGAAGTGTAAGGGCTTGGTGAATGATCCTAGCATACATATGACATGGTGGGACCTGTCTGTTCTTTACATATATATGACATGGAGGGGCCTGTCTGTTCTTTACATACATATGGCATGGTGGGGCCTGTCTGTTCTTTACATACATATGACATGGTGGGGCCTGTCTGTTCTTCACATACGTATGACATGGTGAGGCCTGTCTGTTCTTTACATACTTATGACATGGTGAGGCCTGTCTGTTCTTTACATACATATGGCATGGTGAGGCCTGTCTGTTCTTTACGTACTTATGACATGGTGAGGCCTGTCTGTTCTTTACATACATATAGCATGGTGAGGCCTGTCTGTTCTTTACATACATATGGCATGGTGGGGCCTGCCTGTTCTTTACATACATTTGACATGGAGGGGCCTGTCTGTTCTTTACATACATATGGCATGGTGAGGCCTGTCTGTTCTTTACATACATATGGCATGGTGGGGCCTGTCTGTTCTTTACAACATATGACATGGAGAGGTCTGTCTGTTCTTTACATACGTATGACATGGTGAGGCCTGTCTGTTCTTTACATACATATGGCATGGTGAGGCCTGTCTTTCTTTACATACATATGACATGGTGAGGCCTGTCTGTTCTTTACATACATATGGCATGGTGAGGCCTGTCTTTCTTTACATACATATGACATGGTGAGGCCTGTCTTTTCTTTACATACGTATGACATGGTGAGGCCTATCTGTTCTTTAAGCCACTTTCTCTCTTCTCATAGTTTCACCACCTGGAGCTCAGACTTGGTCCTGGCGGACAGTGGGAATTGCGACGATTGAGAAAATCATGACTGCTTGCTACTAACCAGACATCATGGCCCACCATGGTCCACCCTCTACTTTGTTAATCAGGAAGTGATGGACAATAAATACTTTTTTTTTTTTATTTACAGTCTGAAGTTTTTCCTTTATCTTCCCTTGTGACCCCTTGTAGGAAGATCTCTTAATCTGGTTGTGTTCTCATGGCTGCACTTCCCTCTGAGAGATGGACAGAGCTGTACAGTAGACAGAACAGTTCAGACAGACATCTGGTGCCTGCAGAACCAGATTGTAGGGAGGATTTGGGGAACATTTTGGCAGGCTTCTCCCCTTTCTGATTCGTCCATCTCTTGCAGCCTCGACTGGAATTTTCCATGGCAATGAAGATCTGTTCTCTGTGCAGTCCACCTTTATATGCCCTACCGAGGTGGGAACCTACACCCAAACTTACCAGGCCACATTAATCTGACCTATTGTCCCTGGATTCATCTTTACTGTAATGTCTTTCAGGAAAAAAAGGTGTGTATTATCTCAGAGCAAAAGTCAGGCTAGAAGTGAAGCGACAACCAGTACAATGCCTTCAAGGGTTGTGTTCATAATCAGGTCCTTTTTATTTCCTGGCAGCCAAGATACTGGTACTAGTGCTCCGCTGCCCCCATTGATTGATTTTTAATTTTTTTTTAATTGTGCAGTTGTATTAACCAGCCGTTTATGTACATGGGCCGGACGGGAGCAGTGCCGAAGCGGGTTGCCGTTTATAAACGGCACCCCCATTCCCTGCCTGTGTGTGCTCCCTGGAAGCGCGCGGCACCATGATCCAATGCCTGCTGTGTCCTCCGGACCAGGGGTGGACTGACCATTTGGAAATTCGGGCACTGCTCGAGGGCCCGGGGTCAGTAGAGGGCCCCATGAGATGCCCATAGTACCTTTTTCATAGGCTTTTTTGAGTTTGGGCAAGGTCACAGGGGCCCCATGATCCCCTATTGCCCGGGGGCCCCATGAGTTGTCAGTCCGCCCCTGCTCCGGACACAGCAGAACACCGATTGCTGTACTCTGTGTGAGGTCCCGTGTACTCTGTGTTGGCCAATCAGTGATCACTTGAATAGTAGTAAGCAAGATGTCACTTCCTGACATCATTGCTTACTACTTGTGAAATCTGTGAATGATCACAGAGATCACATGGTACAGGGCTATTCACAGCAGCCTTGTACCATGTGACAAGCTGTGACCAATCACAGCTCTCACAGTATTTCTCAATGGCTGCAAGAATGCAGCCAGAGAGAAGGAGAAATGATTGCTTTTTTACAGCCTTTATGGGTGTACAAGCAATCAGTGTAAAAAAAGAAAAAAAAATCTTCATCACCCCCAAGTAGTACAGTGTCACCATGGTGACACTGTACTGCTAGGGTGACAGTATGTTAAAAAATAAATAATATAAAAATGTAAAAAATGAAAAATTATAATTTTTGGTTATAAACTAATTTGGGTTTTTTTTTACTAAAAAGATAGCTGAATACATTTTGGCCAAGATTTATGATGAAAGATTATTTATTTGCAAAATTTTATAAGAAAAACACTTTTTTTTTCAAAATTGTTTGGACTTTTTCATTTATATAGCAAAAAAATAAAAAAATCCCAGTGGTGAAAAAATGTCACCAAAATAAATTTTTATATGTCTCAAAAAAAATGCTAAAAAAAATTCATATGGGTACAGTGTTGCATGACCGCGCAATTGTCATTCAAAGTGTGATAGCGCTGAAAGCTGAAAATTGGCCTGGGCAGGAAGGGGGGGTGAAAGTGTCCGGACTTGAAGTGGTTAAAGTGGCTGTAAACCTCAGACATGAAATACGAACAAAGCATATCCCTTTACAGTGTGTACTTGTGTCTATTAAGTGCAAGAAGTGTCATTTTTGCTGTCTCCTTCCTCTGCTACCAGCATGCATCACTTCTGACAGGTTTCCTGACACCAGGAGAAAAATGGTGACGGGGAGGGACCTCCAGTTGATTGACAGCCTCAGCTCTGTTCCTATGATCTGTGTGGAAGGGGGTGTCTTCCTTCCCTCCAATTGGCTCTCAGAGCATTCCTCACTGAACTCTGCAGAGTGTAACATCAGCTCTCCCCCTTTTTTCTGAACTCTCTGACAAGCTGTAAATTCAGCACTTTGAATAGATGTAGAGAAGAGAAGACTGCAGATAAACAGGTTCAACTTTATGTAGGTGGATTTGTTTAATCTGTGTATCACCTGAGGCCAGTCACATCACTGGGTAATGTAAGTGTTTACAACCACTTTAAATGAACCTATTACCATTTTACAACTCATTATTATGCTTTTGAGGGTCAGTCTTGATATTGGTAGATGGTGCAGACTCTCCATCGCAGAGTAGAGAGTCTGTTCGAGTTGGGCCACCATAGCAGGTACAATTGGTTGCACATATGATCCATGTATGTCATGTATGGAATGACTGTTGACACCCCAGGAATATGTACACTTGTTTATTTTACAGAGTTTTCACAACAATCACAGTTAACCTAACCAGGCGTTCAGTGTCTGTACATATTTACATGGCTGACATCCAGCAGACAGGAGCTGAACTGTCCATTGTATGTAAAAGCAGAATGGAAATCATTCGAGTCTTCCTGACAGATAGGGCTGCAGGCAGGTGTCATGTATCCTTGTGTGTAGAGAGACACGCAGAACACATTTTCTGCACACACTTGGCACACACATATGTCCATCATAGGCAGGCTCCATGTATGCAGAAAATCCACCATTGCTCTATTCTGACTCCTCTGCGGCTTTTTGTTTCTAGGTAAAATATGGGTGTGATGACGCTTGTGTGAATAAGCGCCCTTATCCGTGGCTGAGAAGTTGTTACAGGAGTAACTAGCATTTCCTGGTAATTGGATCCGCGGTAAAGTCATTTTCTTTTAGACACTGGAGTCCTCCTGGACCTCCGCTTCCCCCTCTGTCTGCCCATCGTGTGCCTCCTCTCTGGTTGCCTCTTTCACTGGCGTTTCGCAGTTTGTACTTCTAAGGACCTTGGCGCTGTGTTCCTGTGCTCGAGCACGCAGGGCAGCAATACTGTTTTCTCTTAGTTCCTCCTCAGAGATGGCAGCTGGGCGCTCGGCCTCTCTTCTTTCTTTCACCTCTGCGTTGGCTATTGCTGGTGCCTCTCGCTCTGACTGTTCGGCTGCCTCTAGAGACTTCTTGTGCATCCCTGCAAAGAATTGTTGGTATTCTGGTTTAGAAAATCGTCTGGGCATTGACAGGCCATCTTGAACTGAAAACAGCAAAGATAAAGAAGATTTTAGAGAAATGAAAAACAGAGGCTCTAACAGGCTGACCAGAGTCCAGGGAGCACAGAATGGGCCATGTGTCCCACAGAAGACAATGCAAATCCCAGAATAGTTATAGTACACATTACTGTACGCAAAAATAGAACACAATAAGAAATGAACTCTACAAAGCCAAGCCCAAGCTATGTAAAGTGCCAGGGAAGAGAAGACATGGAAGGTAGTAGGCAGGGATGGAGAGACTATAAGATTCCAAGTGAGGATGGGCAGTAGTAGATTGGGTAAGCGCATGATTATATGGAATGCAAGTGGAGGAGATGTGGGGTATATGGTGAGGACAGAACGTATAGAAATGGAAAGGGTAGAAGATGAGGATGGCTAAAGGGAGACACTGTAGGTTTAGCAAGGGTGGCAGAGGTGGAGACGGGTAGGAGATGCAGAGATATATAAGAAACAAGAGTTGGAGAAAGAGACTACAGACAGAAACGTCAAGGGTACCAGGTGTAACAGAAAATGATCCAGGTAGGGGAGGAGAGACTAGAAGACATTGTGAGTGCATGGGCAGAGACGGAGACACAAAGAATTCTAGAAATACCAGGAAATAGAAGAAATACCAGGTGGGGAGAGGAGCAGGAGACAGAGGTTATAGGAAGAGATATGTAAGGTACCAGTTGTGAGGAAGAGGAGACACAGAGGGTACAGGTGAAGGCACATAGTGTGAACATGAGGTGGAGACACAGAGGGTACAGGCAGAATTATGTTGGATACCAGGTGGGACTTTTTTAATACAGGCTTGGGACAGGAGGCTGAGATATGCAAAATACCAGGTAGGGGCAGGAGGTGCAGAGACTACAGTTAGACACATAGGGAACCATGTGCAAATGGGTGAAGGACACATGAGCAATGGATAAGGTTAAGAAAATAATGTGAAGGGACTGAGGACCCAGACTGGCATTTATGGAATAGACATTGGCTTCGGGTTTGTAGCGCCAGAAGTTATTAAACAATGGTCACCGATTACTAGTGAACAATTGAAAATTTACTGGCCATGCGTGCACTTCAGTATCACCTGTCACATTTTATCCATCTCTGGGTCACTTATATTACAAGTAACGTTGAGGGGGCAGACACATATTGCATTTCCCTTGATCTGATATATGGGGCAGAACAAATCCTGTATATCAGATCATTGTAATCATGCAAAGGTTTGCAACGCTTGTCAGATGGATTCATTGTGGCAGTTAGTGGAAAAAGTGGCAAACACTTTCCTGCCACCACTGGTAAGAATTACATAAACTAAACTTTTATAGGGCTTTTGTGTTGGTGATGAGTACCTAAGACATAAAGGAGACACTCTCCCTTCTGGCTGGGGATGGGGGAAGAAGGGGGTGATTCAGGATCTAATTGTATAGAATGCATTCCTTACCCAGCAGCCAGGGGGCACAAGACTCCATGATGCCATCCTTGGCGGATTTCAAGATGGACTCTGGAAGTGGGATGGAGTGTCGCACCATGGCACCATACAGACCATATTCCGCCATCACGCTGCTTCGGCCCCAGCACTTCTCCCGCTTCCTCCATTTAGCACGTCTGTTCTGGAACCAAACCTGAGGGTGAAATATGGCCATTTTTAATGCTTTATAATACACACACAAACAAAAAGCAAACTTTAGATATAAGATCAGACTGGGTCTTGTATGTCTATCACTAGTACTGTCTATTTATACACATACCCAGTGTGCTCAAAGGGTTGAGGTTTTGTGTGATTTGCAAAAACATCATTTTGGATTTCTTAGCACAGTTTCTAAGAATCAGAAGTGCCCCTAGTAGTATACATGGAGGCTGTGTGATTGAGCTCAGAGCTAGTACAATGGAGTATTCAGTATTTTCAGCTTAAGATTGATATCGTCTTGTGATAATTCCCCAGGAGGAGGCAGTTTAGACATAACACACTCCACACTGGAGATATTTCTCCTCACTTCCTGCAAGATCCCTGAAATGGGAAGTGAGGGGTTATCTATACAGGGTTAGATCTAGGCATAATAAAACATGACAGGTTTTTGCCCACTTTCTCTTTGGACTAAAAAGTAACAATTTGCCAAGTACCATTATGTTCCTTCCCTGGTCCTCATACTTCTATGCCTAATACCTTACTATTCATGTCAAAATACCAATCATCTATGTTCACCTTAGAAACCCTCCAAAATACTACTTACAGAAAGAGAGGTGTTGCTTTCAGTTCCCCTCATAAATATATATTTATGGTGAGAATTTGTCCTCCTTTCCTTCTCCTCCATCATTTCAACACAGCAATGTGATCTAATGGCAAGTAATTACTGCAAAACATTTTTTTACAGGGAACAGCAGTGGTAATGATACTGGAACCATACTAAGAACAGCCCTAACCACTACATACATTTTAGAATGTCATATGAAGGTGTTGGATGAGGACCAACTGGGTACCCTGTAAATTGTTTCTGGTGAACCCCTAGTATAGGCCACAGAGGAAGCCACTGTATCTCTAGCGAAATGAGCAGAAATCTCTGCATCTTCTTGAGTTTGCAACACGTCTGGTTAGTTTTTACAATCCAAAGATAAGTGAGCTGTAGCTGGATCTCTCTTCTCCCATCTCTTATCAGCAAAAACAAGAAGTCTCTGAGAGAGCCTGTATGAGCTTTTTCTAATGTAACAGGAAAAAGGACAGACCATATCCAAGCAAAGTAGACAATAGTCCAACTCTGGTGAAGGCACAGGAACATTTTAGAAATTACTTTTGGAAAAGTTTAGAAATTACTTTTGGATGAAACCTAACTAACCATTTTAAGACCTCGTTATCTTCAAACGAGGGACTTCTTTTCTGGAGGCCGGATCTTCAAAGAGGTCTTAAAAAGTGGTCAACAGCAGAGTTGAGGTCCCGCTGAGTTCTATCAAGGGATGAAACTGCTAAAATTTGGACCTTGATAATATTATCCACAGTGCTTTTCAAGAAATCCAGAAACATTCTGTGATCGCTTTAGATGGAAATAACATTAGATTTTTTGGTTCAGGAGAGACTACTATATAGCTTCCGTAGATAGTCTAATTTCATCCCTGTCCAAACAGGATGTCTATGTGATAACTCTTATGCAACTCATTAAAGATAATCCACCTGGTTGAGATGACAAACTCTTCTTTGCAAGAGAAAGTCCTTTGATAATATTAGAGGAAATTCTGAGGCCAATCTGCAGAACAGGGGACACCAAGGCATGCAAAGCCAATGCAAGAAGATGCTAATTACTGAAGATTGAGAGGGAATGGTAGAAATACATAGACAAATTTAAAATCCAATGGGATTATAGAGACCAGTAGCAAGAAAATAAGTGTAACAGTTTGGTGTTAGAGCAAGTGATTAATGCTCCCGTTTTTTCTGAAGATCTCTCTCAAGGCAAGACTGTTGATGGACCATTTATTGCAATTGTGACATATTCTATGGTGGCCATGCAATAGAGTTCAGGAACACAAACTGCAAAAGATTCTGACGATGTCTCTTTGACCAGGCCAGAATGAAAGTAACCTGCCAAAGAAGACTGTCATTTTCTGTCCTCCTTGATCAAGAATTTGGCTTCAGTGGTATTATCCAGTTATGGTTTGCCCTGCACCACCTCCACAAAACTCTTGAAATCTCAGGAAATTCCAAAAAGTACAAAACTGATCAGGAACATGAAGGCAACCATATTAGGTAAGCTATTCCCAAATATACCCTCTTCTAGGGGCAGAGGAAACATTTGGAATATCTTTTATGACAGATATTTTTGTGGTAAATTGTGTTCGCTGCTCCTTCTTGAAATCTTGGATCTCTGGATTAGGAGTTAACGTAGGCAGGGACCTAGTAAAGTAGTATCTTTATAAGTTTAGAATAAACCCTTAGGTAGTATTGAGGGGAAACTTGGAAATAGTGAGAGCTGGAGCTCCTAGATTGCCTGGAGCATTGTCTGTGATGTCTAGGTGTATGGGTCAGGGGCATGAACATGGTAATAATGGTCCTGGTGTCCTGATCCTTAGATTTCCTAGTGAGGTTTCTACCCCTTGAAGTCCTGCATAATGAACATTGGTGATATACAGGTACTTTATACCACTTAGCAAACCTTACACAGAGAAGATATTCGAACAATGAGCAAATTTATGGGTGAAGGCGAGCTTTCAAGCGAGGCAGCACAGATAAGGGAACATGGAAAGCAAGACTTCTATAATCTTGCTCGAAGGCTTTTCTGTGGGTCAAAAATGGAGGCAGACCTATGGCGTGCTGACATGATGGAGGACCAGAAAAAGAGCTGTGGTTGATAACCTTGTCAGGAAGGAAATATGGAGGCCACCATTGCTGACATGGCTTTTTGAAAAATTGTCAGCTCTTTAGGGATTATGATGTCAAAATCCACCTTTTCTGTGTGAGAAACTAGAACTACATAGCCCAGTGAGAACTAAACTGTCTGTGGGACACACAAGTATGGAAATGACAGCACGCACATATGTATGTGTGTGTGTGTGTGTATATATATGTATGTATGTATGTATGTATATATATATATATATATATATATATATATATATATATATATATATATATGTGCGTGCTGTCATTTCCATACTTACACTATATTGCCAAAAGTATTGGCACTCCTGCCTATACACGCACATGAACTTTAAAGGCATCCCAGTCTTAGTCCATAGGGTTCAGTATTGAGTTGACCCACCCTTTGCAGCTATAACAGCTTCAATTCTTCTGAGAAGGCTGTTCACAAGGTTTAGGAGTGTGTCTATAGTAGTGTTTTGACCATTCTTCCAGAATCGCATTTGTGAGTTTAGCCACTGATGTCGGACGAGAAGGCCTGGATCGCAGTCTCCACTCTAATCCATCCCAAAGGTGTTCTATGGGGTTGAGGCCAGGACTCTGTGTAGGCCAGTCAAGTTCCTCCACTCCAAACTCGCTCATGCATGTCTTTATGGACCTTGCTTTATGTACTGGTGCGCAGTCATGTTGGAACAGGAAGAGGCCATCCCCAAACTGTTCCCACAAAGTTGGGAGCGTGAAATTGTCCAAAATGTCCTGGTATGCCAATGCCTTAAGCATTCTCTTCACTGAAACCAAGGGGCCAAGTCCAACTTCTGAAAAACAACTCTGCTCCATAATCCCCCTCCACCAAACTTTACACTTGGCACAATGCAGTCAGGCAAGTACTGTTCTGTTAACCGCCAAACCCAGACACATCCATTGGATTGCCAGACAGAGAAGTGTGATTGGTCACTCCAGAGAGCACGTCTCCACTACTCTAGAGTCCAGTGGCAGCATATTTTACACCACTGCATCCAACGCTTTGCATTGCACTTGGTGTAAAGTTTGCATGTGGCTGCTCGGCCATGGAAATCCATTCCATGAAGCTCTCTATGTACTCTCTTTGTGATAATCTGAAGGCCACACGAAGTTTGGAGGTCTATAGCTATTGACTCTGCAGACAGTTGGCAACTTCTGCGCACTGTGTGCTTCAGCATGCGCTGACCCCGCTCTGTCATTTTATGTGGCCTACCACTTGGTGGTTGAGTTGCTTGTTGTTTCCAGTTGCTTCCACTTTTTATAATACCACTAACAGTTGAGCGTGGAATATTTAGTAGCCAGGAAATGTCACGGATGGACTTATTGCACAGGTGGCCACCTATCACGGGACCACGCTTGGAGTCACTGAGCTCCTGAGAGCAACCCATTCTTTCACAAATGTTTGTAGAAGCAGTCTGCATGCCTAGGGGCTTGATTGTATACACCTGTGGCCATGGAGGTGATTGGAACACTTGAATCCAATGCTTTGGAGGGCGGACCCAATACATTTGGCAATGTAGTGTATGTATTTATATATACCGGTGTGTGTGTGTGTGTATATATATATATATATATATATATATATATATATATATATAATAAAAAAACAAGGTCTCCATGGCCTTAAACCCAGGTGTCACCCACTTACTCTTGGAGGGTCACTTTTCCTGGTGGTATTATTTTGATTTTTAGGCGATGCTGATAACTGATTGAAAAGTCACTTAATCTCAAGTTGAATCAATGCTGCGGAATTATCTGGGGAAATTAAATGCTCTGAGCTGCGGAGCCGCATTGACCCATCCTAATTAATATCTGCAGCCAGCAAAATACTTCCTCCCATTGAACTAATTACTGGGGGAAGGGGAGGGGCTGGGCCCTCGGAGGACGCCGCTCGTCATCAGGTCATTAGCACATTAACGAGATGTGCCGATATTTCCTTCACTGACAATAAGAGCTCCAATCGGCTGTGCAGGAAATGAAAATTATGCCAGTTATTACACTGAACTACAATCTCTCCTTGTGATGAGCCATTGATAATATAAACGTTTTCTATAATGACCCGCTGTCATTCCACTTGACCAGCTCCTAAGTATATTGATTTTCCATTGTACAGCTAATCATGCTGTAAACCATTTTCCGATCGCTTGTACAAAACTTACAGTCCTTCCAGGGATTCCACCTTAACTACACCACTGATATCACCTCTAACTATATGACTATTTAAATGTATGTAGAATCATTCTATACCTTCCCAGTATTACATATTCCACTCACTGTATATTCTGTACATTGCTTCCTATATCTCGCCTATACCCCATATCACCTCCATTCTTTATTCTGTATTGTCCTTCTAATGCATTTCATTTACTGCACTTCCCCTTCGTTATATACAGTGGATATAAAAAGTCTTCACACCTCTGTTAAAATGTCAGGTTTCTGTGATGTAAAAACATGAGACCAAAGATAAATTAATTAATTTTAGAACTTTTTCCACCTTTAATGTGACCTATAAACTGTACAACTCAATTGAAAAACAAACTGAAATCTTTTAGGGAGGTGGTGGGGGTAAACATAAAAAACTAAAATAATATGGTTGCATAAGTGTGCACACCCTCATATAACTGGGGATGTATCTGTGTTCAGAATTAAGCAATCACATTCAAAATCATGTTAAATAGGAGTCAGTACACACCTGCCATCATTTGAAGTGCCTCTGATTAACCCCAAATAAAGTTAATCTGTTCTAGTACGTCTTTCCTGACATTTTCTTAGTCGCATCCTACAGCAAAAGCCATGGTCCGTAGAGAGCTTCCAAAGCATCAGAGGGATCTCATTGTTAAAAGATATCAATCAGGAGAAGGGTACAAAAGAATTTCCAAGGCATTAGATATACCAAGGAACACAGTGAAGACAGTCATCATCAAGTGGAGAAAATGAGGAGCAACAGTGACATTACCAAGAACTGTACGTCCCTCCAAAATTGATGAGAAGACGAGAAGAAAACTGGTCTGGGAGGCTGCCAAGAGGCCTACAGCAACATTAAAGGAGATGCAGGAATATTTGGCAAGTACTGGCTGTGTGGTCCATGTGCCAACAATCTCCCGTTTTCTTCATATGTCTGGGCTATGGGGTAGAGTGGCAAGATGGAAGCCTTTTCTTATGAAGAAAAACATCCAAGCCTGACTAAATTTTGCAAAAACACATCTGAAGTCTTGCAAAAGCATGTGGGAAACTGTGTTATGGTCTGATGAAACCAAGGTTGAACATTTTGGCCATAATTCCAAAAGATATGTTTTGTGGAAAACACTGCACATCATCAAAAGAATACCATACCCACCGTGAAGCATGGTGGTGGCAGAATCATGCTTTGGGGCAGTTTTTCATCAGCTGGAACTGGGGCCTTAGTCAAAGTGTTGGGAATTATGAACCATTCCAAATACCAGTCAATATTGGAACAAAACCTTCAGGCTGCTGCTAGAGAGCTGAACATGAAGATGAACTTCGTCTTTCAGCATGATAACGACCCAAAGCATACATCCAAATCAACAAAGGAATGGCTTCACCAGAAGAAGATGAAAAGTTTTGGAATGACCCAGCCAGAGCCCAGACCTGAATCCGATCAAAAAACCTGTTGGGTGATCTGAAGAAGGGTGTGCACAGGAGAAGAGTGAGCAAATATTGCCAAGTCAATATGTGCCATGCTGATAGACTTGTACCCCAAACGTCCGAGTGCTGGAATATAATCAAAAGGTGCTTCAACAAAGTATTAGTGTAAGGGTGTGCACACTTATGCAACCATATTATTTTAGTTTTTTATTTTTACTTCCCTCCACCTAAATGATTTCAATTTGTTGTTCAACTGAGTTGTACAGTTTATCGGTCATATTAAAGGTGGAAAAAGTTCTGAAAATATTTATCTTTCTCTCATTTTTTTACATCACAGAAACATGACATTTTAACAGGGGTGTGTAGACTTTTTATATCCACTGTATTCTGTACAGTACTATCTATACCCCTCGTACCTCAAATCACCTCCATTATATATTCTGTACAGTTCTTCCTATACCTCCCCTGTGCCACGTATCACCACCATTATATATTCTGTACAGATCTTTCGGTATCTACCCTGAATTCCTAGTCGACTTATGTAAAATTCTCCCTATACCCTCGTGCACTCCATATATTATATATTCTAATAGTCCATCTCGTACATCCCCTGTACCTTGTATCGACTCCATTATATATTATGTACAGAATATATAATGGAAGTGAAATGGGGTAGAGGGGAGGTATTGAATGGAATGGACTGTACAGAATATGTAACAGAGATGTTCTTCATAAAAAGATTTTTAAATACACCTACTAATTATCTGTATGTCAGATTGTGCAATAAACATATATACAGAATAACTAAAAAGATCAATGAATGAAAATGAGAATGTGTTATACAGTAAGACACCCATGTGAAAAGCCTCAGCCATAAGCTGCCTGGACCTAGTATGTTGAAATGAAGTTAGTCTCAGCCTCAAAACAATACTGGTGATTTTTAACACTGTTACAGGGGGACCTTGGAGATGGGTGATTTTATGGAGAGAAGTGGTGGTCCTCTTTGCTAAGGATATGTTACCTGTATCCGATCTTCTGGGAGTTCTGTCTTCATTGCCAGCATCTCCCTGGCATACACATCAGGATAATGGGCCTCGTTGAAGGCTTTCTCCAGTTCCTCCAGCTGGTACGAGGTGAAGATTGTCCTGGGAAGGTGTCACATATTGTTAGGATGACTCTAAACTAGCATTCCCACTTCCTGTACCCACTGTATACCAATAACAACTGATTAAACAAGTCTTCCAGGGGCTGCAGCCTAGGAGACATTCCAGAACCCAAATGTATGGCCAACCCAACCAAAGGACACTGATGCTAGTTCTTTTTTGAGACTCCATGGAAATAATGGAGACATTTAGTTCACACTGGGGATTTTCTAGTTCCATTATGAGTGTTGTACTATACTGTCATGAAGCAGAACTCACACTTTATAGACATATACAGAGCAAAGCCTTCCCGTCCCAGCAAGGGGAGAGAAGAAATGGCTTCAGCAGGCAAACAGGTGCTCACATCTATGCAGCTGGTCTAAAATATTGTTACCCTCTTGTTTTATTGTGGCTTGGACTAGAGTGCAAATGGATGCAAACGTAGTCAAAATGGGTGTGGGTGTCCCAGAGATCCTTTCACCATTCCCAGCATGCACTATGGCCCAATCTGTGCCTAGTCTAGAACCATTAATGATGAATGTATGATACTTTAAAGATTAACATTCACTAATATTGCTAGACAGAGAAATGTGAGGAGTAATAGAATATTCACCCTCTTCCCAGACTGAAGGTAGATGAACGAAGGGATGGATGGATGAATGGATGGACAGTCGGATGGATGGAACGTTGGGTACCTGTGCCTCCTCTTCTTCCGTTTCTTGTTTTGGTTGAGGGATTTGTTCAGCTTTCTGTCAGTGGATGAGATCTCCTCAGAGTCTGTAGAGAAACATAAAATGTCCATTAGACATTCCATGTGAAATGCAGCATATACTGTACACAATTTGCAAATCATGATAAGAAATTATGCTTTGTTTTCTCTCACTGTTAGGTTACAGTGGGTACAGTCACCATGTTGTGTCATACTGTCAAAAGTAAAATTACCATAGGCAGACCACAAGCTTTATGTATCAAAACACCTGAAGATCATTCACATCCAACCAGCACTGGAAAGACAAAAGGGACAACCTTTTTGGCTGCCACTGGGAAGAACAGTCTCTCTTTTTTAGACTTTTTTTTTCCAGACACTACATGTAAATCACTATGTCATTATCTAAATAGCCTCAATATGGCCCTATTCTTGCAAGGGACTTACACTGCCATAAATGGATGAAAAACTACCAGGAAACTGCAATACAGATAGCTGAACCCAACTCTCTGGAACACCTACAAGAGTGAGTGAATGGAGGTAGGGGAGGAGTAAGGGATTGATGGACAGGATGGAGAGATAGACCAACACAGAAAAGGAGGGAGATAAAGATGGATGAGTAGACAACATGGTTAGACAGGCAGAGGGAGGGATGTACAGTCATGGCCAAAAATATTGGCACCCCTGCATTAATGTCAGATAATTCACCACTTCGCCCAGAAAATTGTTGCAATTACAAATGTTTAGGCATTCTCATTTTTATTTCACTTGTTTGTATTGGTATCACATAAAAGTGGAGAAACAAAAAGCCAAATCTAGCATATTCCACGCAAAATCCCCAAAATGGACTGGACAAAATTATTGGCACCTTCTTAAAATTATAAGAAATAGTTATATTCCAAGTTTGTGATGCTCCTGTAATTTGTAGTTAAACTCATCAATTAACAGATTCTGTTCCTGTGTCCACTGTGCGCAACATTGTCAAGAATTTACAGCCCATGGCACTGTAGCTAATTTCCCTGGACAGGGATGAAAGAGAAAAACTTGATCAAAGATTGCAACAAAGGATTGTTCAAATGGTGGATAAAGAACCTCAATCAACTTCCAGACAAATTCAAGCTGACCTTCTGGCACTGGGTACAATTGTTTCAGCTCTATACGTTGTCATCTTAATGAAAAAGGGATGCTATGGTAGGAGACCCAGGAGAACTTCACTGCTGACACAGAAACATAAAAGAATTCAGATTGGAGTTTACCAAAACTATCCTTTTGGGAGAATGTGCTATGGACAGACGAAACAAAATCACAGCTTTTTGATAAAGCCCATCATTCTACTGTTTTCACAAAAAGAAATGAGGCCTTTAAAGTAAAGAGTACAGTCCCTACAGTCAAACATGGTGGAGGTTCACTGATGTTTTGGGGTTGCTTTGGAACTGGATGTCTTGACCGTGTGCATGGCATTATGAAATCTGAAGACTTCCAAAGAATTCTGGGGTGTCGGGCCCAGTGTCAGACAAAGGGATGGAGCGTACTGAACTGGCAAGCAATGAGTCCAGAACTCAATCCCATAGAGCACCTGTGGAGACATCTCAAAACATCAATTGGGAAAAGGAAACCTTCCAGTCTGAGACCTGGAGCAGTTGAGGAAAGAAGAGTGCTCCAAAATTCCAGTAGAGAGATGTAAGAAACTCATTGATGGTTACAGGAAGGGATTAATTTCAGTTATTATTTCCAAAGGGTGTGCTACCAAATATTAAATTGAGGGTGCCGATGATTTTGTCCAGTCCATTTTTGGTGTTTTGCATGAAATGTGTCAGATTTGGCTTTTTGTTTCTCCACAGTTTTGTGTCATACCAATACAAACAAAAATAAACACGAGAATGCCTAAACATTTATATAATTGCATCAATTTTCTGGGCAAAGTGGTGCATAATCTGACAGAAATGCAGGGGTGCCAATATTTTTGGCCATGACTGTCGGATTGACTGTATGGATTGTCGCAGGAACAAACTGGGTGGACATATGGATGGGCAAAAAATGGGATGGTTGGATGGATGAAATAGATGAACAGAGAGAGCGTTTTATAAAAGAAAGGATAGCATCAACAGTTGGACAGAGGGACAAGATGGATGGATAGATGAATGAGCAGAGGAAAGGCGGGACTGGGTAGATGAAAGAACAAAGGGATGGGAAGGGTGGATTGATAGATAGGCAGAGAAAGGGAGAGCTTGATGGAGGAGCATGATGGGTAGATATCTGGACAAGATGGATGACTAAATAGATGAATGGAGGAAGATAAGTGAATAGATGAGAGGGATTAAGGCAAGGGAAGGTTGGTTGGATAGATAGATGGACAGAGAGACTGGATAGGTTAATAGATGGACAGGCAGAGCAAGGGAAGGGTGGACATACAAATGGGCAGAGAAAGGAGGGATTGGGTAAATGGATGGATGGAGGGTAGGAATGGGTGGACAAATGGATAGGCAGGGATGGATGGACAGACCGACAAATGGATCGGATGGGTGGATAGATGGAATGGAGGAGAAAGGGAGGGTTGGTAGGGTAGATGAACAAATCAAAATCTTTGCTTTACTGCTACTATGTCAGCTGTGAAGGAAATAGCACACAGAGTTCTGCATGCAGGTTGTGAGTAAACATAAACCATCCATGGAGATAAGGAATGGGAAGATGCTGAATTCCCAGCTGTTCTTCATACTTTTTTCCTTCCACGCAAGAATAAAGCAAATTAATGATAATTTTGACTGTTTATCGCAGTTCATTTGCTGTTTTATATCATCCCCGGAGACTCCAAGGGTGGCTTCACTATGCCAGAGGAGCCAAAGAGACTGTCCCCAAGATAATGGCCACAGTTCAATGGTAGAGCTAGACTGCTGCCAGAGCTTAGAGGTGGCTAAATGTGTGGGAATCTAGACAGCAGGGAAATATCAGCTTTCAGTGGACTGTGCCACTAAATAATTCCCAGCAGCCTGACAACATACAGTTGTGTTCAAAATAATAGCAGTCAGACATCACTAACCTGATCCATCACTGTTTTTGGTAGAAATGATATTTCTGCATGGCAAATAATTTACTAGCAGGTGTAGTAGAGTAATATAAGTCCAACAGACCCAACAGTCATGACATGCATGCTGCTGATTCTGTGTCATTGAATCACTAATTGAAAGGGGCATGTTCAAAATAATAGCAGTGTGGAGTTCTATTAGTGAGGTCATTCATTCTTTGAAAAACAGGTGGCAATTATTGCCCTTATTTAAGGAAGGAAGGCAGCAAATGTTGTACATGCTGGTTACAGTGCATTTCTCTCTGAAATTCTGAGGAAAATGGGTCGTTCCAGACATTGTTCAGAAGAACAGCTTACCTTGATTAAAAAGTTCATTGGAGAGGGGAAAACATATAGCATAGATATATATATATATATTTATGGTCTGGTCCCAGTTTCTTGGTGTAGCTACATACACAACATTGCCAAAAGTATTGGGAAACCCCTTCAAATCATTGGATTCAGGTGTTCCAATCCCCTCCATGGCCAGAGGTGTATAAAAGCAAGCACTTAGGCACGCAGACTGCTTCTACAAACATTTGTGAAAGAATGGGTCACCCTCAGGAGCTCAGTGAATGCAAGCGTGGTACCGTGATAGGTTGCCACCTGTGCAATAAGTCCATCCGTGACATTTCCTGGCTACTAAATATTCCACGCTCAACTGTTAATGGGATTATAACAAAGTGGAAGCAACTGGGAACAACAGCAACTCAGCCACCAAGTGGTAGACCACGTAAAATGACAGAGCGGGGGTTAGCTCATGTTGAAGCGCACAGTGCGCAGAAGTCACCAACTGTCTGCAGAGTCAATAGCTAAAGACCTCCAAACTCGGTGTGGCCTTCAGATTAGCACAGCAACAGTGCATAGAGAGCTTCATGGAATGGGTTTCCATGGCTGAGGAGCTGCATCCAAGCCTTACATCACCAAGTGCAATGCAAAGCGTTGGATGCCGTGGTGTAAAGCACACCGCCACTGGGCTCTAGAGCAGTGGAGACGTTCTCTGGAGTGACCAATCACGCTTCTCTTTCTGGCAATCTGATGGACGTGTCTGGGTTTGGCGGTTGCCAGGAGAACGGTACTTGCCTGACTGCATTGTGCCAAGTGTAAAGTTTGGTGGAGGGGGGATTATGGTGTGGGGTTGGTTTTCAGGGGTTGGGCTTGGCCCTCTACTTCCAGTGAAGGGAACTCTTAAGATTTCAGCATACCGAGACATTTTGGACAATTTCATGTTCCCAACTTTATGGGAAGAGTTTGGGGATGGCCTCTTCCTGTTCCAGCATGACTGCGCACCAGTGCACAAAGCAAGGTCCATAAAGACATGGATGATTGAGTTTGGGGTGGAGGAATTTGACCGGCCTGCACCTCAACCCGATAGAACACCATTGGGATGAATTAGAGTAGAGACTGCGAGCCAGGCCTTCTCAACCAACATCAGTGCCTGACCTGACAAATGTGCTTCTGGAAGAATGGTCAAACCTTCCCATAGACACCCTCCTAAACCTTGTGGACGGCCTTCCCAGAAGAGTTGAAGCTGTTATAGCTGCAAAGGGCGGGGCCAACTCAATATTGAACCCTATGGACCAAGACTGGGATGCCAGTAAAGTTCATGTGCGTGTAAAGGCCAACGGCCCAATACTTTTGGCAATATAGTGTATTTCACCAATCAGACAATGATCACACTGGGACCAGCAGTCGGTAACAGTGCTCATTCGATGCTATCTGCTTCCTCTTCCGATCGGTAATCACAGGGTTCAGCAGACTGATGTCTTCCAACATTGACTTCTCTTTCAGTACTTCAATTTCATATGACTAAAAGACAAAGAATGTAAAAGGAAGCTGGTGCTGGAACAAATACATTTGTCCCTATTGTCGAGGGGTCACTTGATTGTATTTGTCCTCCAGGATAAAGGTTCTCATTTCTTCCGTGCTTTATAGCATCCAACCTCTGATCCATGCTGTGCTCTCTGGCATCCCACCTACACAAGATGTTGTGCTCTCCGGTATCCTACCTCCGCTCCATGTTGCGCTCTCTGAC